ATGGGTGTAGGGGTGGGTATGGGTGTAGGTGTGGGTATGGGTGTAGGTGTGGGTATGGGTGTAGGTGTGGGTATGGGTGTAGGTGTGGGTATGGGTGTAGGTGTGGGTATGGGTGTAGGTGTGGGTGTGGGCGTGTGGGTAGCTATTAGACAAGATCATTTCTTCAACCACACACCCACACCCCACATTGATATCTCACACGATATAAATTTTTTGTTCTCTATACTGTTGGCCATATTTATCTACGATCTCTGTCTACGTGTGTTTTGTGTATTCTCTGTAAGATTATTTTGTCTGTTCTACATATTCTATCGGTTAGTTAATATGTCATCCTTACTTGGCACGCATGTGTTTGTAGATGCCAAGGTTCATAAGAAAAGAACAAAGAATTTTTGTCCTCAAGCAATGGTAGATATCAGGGAAAACATTACGAGCAGTAAATACAGCTTTTCTAAATGAATTTCCTGACAAGAAAGCTCCAAACCCACAAGAAATTTTTCAGCTAACAAAAAATTTTGATGAAAACACTTCTGTCGAAGATGCACCACGACAAAGTAGCTGAACTTTTTTTGAAAACAAGAGTTAAGTAGTCTAATAAGCTACAGTTACTGGTGTTCAGTCAAAAACAGCTGAGCTACGGGCGATAGAGTTCACACTCGTTGAGTACACTGTAGCTGGGTTGTATCACTCCACCACAGACCAACACTTGTCCGGAATTCTCTAGTAGTGTAGCAGTATGACCATCTCTTGCTTTGGTCAAGCTAGCTGCTGGTCTCCACAAATCTTTCAGAGGATTGTACAATTCGCATGTACTTGTATCATTTAAGCCATCATAACCTTCCACTAAAAGTACTTCTCCGCTAAGCAACAGTGTTGTTGTTCCACCGGTTTTAGGAGCTAGTAATGTTCCATTTCGTGTAATAGTGAAAGTACGTATATCGAACAATTCATATGTTTGTAGAGCAACAGATGTAGTAAAATTAGATTCACCACCAGAAAACAAGATTGCTTGAATAGACGGAATGTATGTTGCAGTGTGATATCCTCGTGCGTTCGATAGGCGTGCAATACGCAGTACAAACATGTTCGAAGTGCTATTGTAAACTTCGATTGAATCGAGAGGAGTGAATATCTCTGAAAAACCACCCGCGATAACTACAATTCCATTCGGAATAGCGGTCGCTGTGTGACCAAATCGAGCTGAAGACATGTTATTGCTAACTAGTTTAAATGTATCTGTTACATAGTCGTAAATCTCACCCGTACGAGATATACCCATTGCACCTCCGTAATAGCCTCCCACTAGCAACACACGTTTGCTGCCTCCATAATCAATCAAAACTGATTTATGCTCAATTCTCGGTCCACTCATTTTGACCGTTCTCTTCGATATGCCAAGTAGAGGATCGAAAATTTCAGCATTTGGAGTATTCGAGCCTCCAGCGATCAAAATTTCATTTGGTCCTAGGCGATCGGCGGTATGAAGAGCTCGAGCTTGTTTCATCTGTGTTTGCAGTACGAAAGATTTGTTCGATGAAAGAAATGTCTCCGTAGACGGAGAAGCAATCCATGAATTATTCGAATTGATATCACCACCAGTAATGAGAACAGAATTTGTTTCGGGGATGAAGGTGCTGGTGTGACCAACACGCGCTGTGACCATATTTGCAACTATCGTCCAAGTGTTGCTTGTACCTAGGGATGAGAAAGACACTTTTTTGCTGCTATTTTGTTTTGAATCCGATGAAGAACATTAATGTTACGATGGGTTGAGAGATTAGTGTTCGGTGTGGTGTTAATCGTGCAAAATTGGGATTGATGGAAACTCAACAAAGTTTGTCTTGAAGATTCTAATAGGGATGCAATTTGAACTGTAGTAGACTTGTTGCTCACAGCTTTCTTGTACCTACTGCGACAATAGCAAGTCACATTCTCTTTGTTATTGTCTTGCTCATAATCAAATTATTTCTATTCAGTTTTTCGCGTTTCCTTATAGCTAGGAGCAGGCACCTGATCATACTTAAATCAATGAGAGTTAAGCCACTATTGCTTATGAACGAATATTTCATAGAAATACAAAAACAATAAAGGTAATTCTCTCGGGAGAGGGTGTGAGTGTGGATTTGGATCATCTCTTCATTCACACCCACACTTTCAAAAAAGAGTCTAACACACAAAAATACTTATTTGTCCATCCAGTCAATCAGAAAGCAGCATCAAGGAATAGGGATGATAACTGCCCGAAGAAATCTGGAAAGAAATTTAACGAAGGGTGATGTGAAATAAGGAGCTCGAAACTCCACTGATAGCCCAGAAATAAATGGAAATTTAGTTTTCAGGAAAGTAGCTTTCCAGAGATAAATTGAGACGAAGGCTTAGAATCTAAAGGACATTTGCCTCGAAGATCACTAATCGGCCGAAATCAATGAAAATCTAGTTTCGGAAAAACAGTTCCACAAAAGTCCATATGAACTATCTTAAAGAGTATGCGGGTGCACTATACGGCTGTCTTTATCTAGTGTCCACCTCCGCGCTATGGGAACAGTAAAAAAAATCGAATGTCATTGTTAAGAAAAGTAAATTCAAGATACGAGAGGTAATAATTCCAAGGTACTTGCGATGATGATCTCGAAGAAAAACATTTGTTTCATAGTTGTATGAAGCTTTGAAGAACCTCCATCGAGATTTCTTGAGAAACCGAATTAATTTTCGAGTTTTTTTCGATCCTTGATATGTTTTTAAGTTTTCTCGATATCAATAAGCACTAGAAAAGTAATATTTGTGATGATCTTGATGAGCTCAATTCAGATATTTAGAGTTCAGGTCCAAATTGAAAGTCTGCACAAACTTTGAATTACAAGAAACTTATGCTATATAATACGCCAGAAGGACACTGAAGCACAGACGGTGTTCACAAATGATGGTAGACAGGAGACTAGAGAAACACCAAACTTACTTGAGGTCGTAGTACCAGGCAATTTTGTCGTTGATCTAGTCGTAGATCTAGTCGTAGATCTAGTACTACTACTACTCTGTCTAGTATCTACAAATATACAAACAAAAGAAAGATGGAAATAGTAATATTAATGATGAGAGTCTTTACTTACCTGTTCGACTAGTTGTTAATGTAGTATTTGTAGATCGGGCTTAGAGAAATAAACAGAGTTTTATAATATCTTTTAGAATCTTTACATACTGGCTGTCATTTGTGTTGTAACTCTCGTTGAAGCCACTGAATTCGTAGCTAAAATAAATCAAACATAGATCTTCGAAATGTTTTCTTCAAACGAGGGCCTGTTAACCTGTTATTGCCAATGTAGTTGTTGCATCTAGAAAGGTAACAATAAAAAATATATCATTCTACAAAGATACCAAGCAAAATATCTGACTTCGAACGACTGTTGTATTTGCAACTCTTGTTGATGACGCTAAAAGAGTCATAGACAGATTATAAACAAGTACGCGAAGTTTATATCGAAACGTAAATATAACGTAGCACTGTAATCCTTTCCTGTCAAACATGCCGAATGGAACGCGCTTTTTTCTCTACACTGATCGGGTACAGTGTTGTATATCTTTTCAATGTATAACATAGCTATTGAACTTCTTAGAGCTCTTACTTGTAACTGTTGAAGTCGGACTTGTTATGCGATCTAAGATAAAGAATTATGTTTTTGATAAAAGTTCATTTATATTGTGTAATTATTGTATTCTTACGCACTCGGAGGACATATTTGAATATTAGCCAGTGCCATTGGATAACAAACAGGCTGTTGACATCGTGTGCTGTTAACGCAAATTGTTTGTGGAATAGAACACGTAATATTATCTGAATTACATCGAACCATTGAACTGCAGGGAAGAGCGGCGAAAGCACAAATGCCCGAGGCAATTGCATTAACAGTATTGGCCAATGAAAAACATTCACAATCGAGATTCGATGAACAGGGCAAAGATGACGATTTACAAAGAGTCGAATTGCATGTCGCCAATGTAAGACCAGGTGATGGCGTTGTTGATTGAGCTATGGCAGAGCATGGATGAGAAAGTGGAAGCATTACTTCAAAAAGTAGCGTAATACCTTACCTGTAGCTTCAAGTTGACCATCGCATAGACTTCGAATAAAAATTAAAGAAATTATATAGTTGAATTCTATTGAAGGATATTGACCACTCACCCTACCGCCAACAGAATATATAGTAAAACCATTAGAAGTAATTGAATTTCTTTCGTTTTCTTTGTATGCATCAATTTTAATTTACTTTCTGTCTCTGATTTTTGGTCAATGTTCTGTTGTATAGATGTAAGTCTTGCAATTGCCTGTAAAAAGTTGTCTTCAAGTCCTATTTTCAAACATTAATCAAGAGAAACAAAACACAGATTTTTTTTCTTTTGCGACCAACAACGGAAAAACTAACGAGGAAAGCAAAAAAAAGCAGTTTCATTTTCATACGAATATTTTACCCATGGAAGAGAGCATCCCTTGTAAGTTTCTCTGATAACCTTGAAAAGATGTTTCAATGTTAAACAATCTCATTTAGATCCATGTAGAGTAGCACTTAAAAATAATAGTCTTATAATAGTTGCTTGTAGACAGATTCGTGTTCGAAGTAGGGGTGGGAAGTTACCGTTCCAAGGCCGTTACCCGGGAACGGTAACGGTAACGGTTGCTATGGAAGGAGTTACCAGTTACTTTTTCCTGGTAACCTCTCAAAAAGACGAAATATCACTTCTATTCGACCGAATAGTGACAACACATCAATAAAAAAAAATTTGGAGTTACCAGTTACCTGGGAACGCGTCAACTTAAAAAATAATGCAATGACAAAATTCTCCAGACGGGAAGGGATAATTCTTCTTTTTGGAGAAGTTACCAGGAAAAAGTAACTGGTAACGGAACCGTTACCAGTTATCCAGGTAACGGTAACTTCCCACCCCTAGTTCGAAGTATCTGCTTAGGTTTATAACTAAAAGAAGTTAATAATATATCTTATCAGAGGTCAAATAGAGGAAGAGAAACATCCACATTTAGTGAAACGTCTCTAGTGTAGCTTCTACGAAGTTTAGAAAGAAGAACGAAAATTGTATAACTAGCAGAATTAGTGCAATATCACTATAGAGACATTTATTCATTTTTCTAACGGTTCGCATTTCTCCTAGGATTTCGAAAATTTTCATGTTTGCCAAGATGACGAGAATGTGGGTATGGGGTGTGAATCTCGGCTTCTTTTACTAACCATACCCACATCCTGCATTGTATGCAAAGATGTAAAAGAACCAATTTAATACTAAACTTTCTTTAAGTTCCGGAGCAGGTTCAAAGCCTATAATAGTTCTTCTTGAGAATACAAACTCGAAATCATTTCTACAAAGTCTTTATACGATTCGTAAGATGAAAAAAAATGTTCGGTAAGAAAGATACAAAACCATCGAAGTTTCGTAAAAAGTCGTTGCAATTCAGTACACATCTCTCGGAGTTTGCTATGAATCTTGTCAGATCTCGTATCCAACTTGCATAGTTTTGTATCTTTCATACCGAACCTTTTTAATCTTACGAATCTTATAAAGGCTTTGTAGTAAAGGTTCCGAGTTTGTATCCTCAGGGAGAACCTTTTTACGCTTTGAACCTACTTCGGAACTTAAAAATAATTCTGCATTAAAGTGATTCTTTTAGAGTAAGGGAGAGCCCAAGGGGGAAACAGCAGAGACTTCAGTCATGAAGTCCCATGAAGTCTTGAAAGTCTTCTGAAGTCTCTTGAAGTCTCCTGAAGTGTTATAAGGTCTTATGAAGTCTCAAAAAAGTCTCAATGAGTCTCATGAAGTCTCTTGAAGTCTCATAAAATCTCTTGAAATCTAATGAAGTCTCATGAAGTCTCATGAATTCTTCTGGAAGTTGTGAAATATATTCAGTGCATGAAAATTCATAAGAAACCAATGAAATTGTCTTGTTTTCGGGAGCC